CCCCAGTATCAGGAGAAACGGACCCATGACACCAGAGAAAACCCATTTTCAGAATCCTGGCTGTTGGCCCGCCAGGGAGGAGGGGGCAGGTGTGGCCGCCACAGCCTCCGCCAGAGGGGGCCTGGCGCCTCTTTCCACTGAGACGGTCTTTGTGTGTCACTCACCTATTTTTTCCACTAGAATCTTCCCTTTGTTTTTGCTCCCCATCTTGTTCCTGAGAGTCTCTCAGTCTTTATTTACAGCTTCCTTGCAGCTAGAGCCTCTTGGCAAGAGGTGACGTTGAACGTGACTTTCCATGGCAGCTCCGGCCCCAGCGGTGGCAGGAGGCCCTGGAAGCCTGTAGCACCTTTTTCCTGTGCCATTCCCAGGCAAAAGACAGCCTCTCTTGCATGCTCTTGTTCGCCTCAAAATCCCAAAAGACCATTTCCAAAGTAATTGTATTCTCCTCTCTTTCCTTACTCCTATAAAAAAATTAAAAAAAAAAAAAAGGATGGAAAGGGAGGAAAAGCGAAGATAAAGAAGACAATATGCCAAGGACGGATTTTGAAACAGACTTGGTAAATATTTTCCTTTGTTCCTTTTTATGGGCATGCTGTTACAAGGATAAACGCATCCAATTAAAGCTCACACCTGGGGTGGAGTGAAGGGAGTACTGAAATAGTTGTGACAGAAACGAATGCACTTCTAGAACTTCCTCCTGTTCAAACTGTGGGATTTTGTTCTAGTCAGTAGGACACAGATGGAGATTTAGAGGGGAAAATCCCTGGCGGAGTATGTATTAAACTACAGTGTTGTGCCATTAGCTTAGTAATACTGTGGAATCAGCGAAAACCATACCCATTCGTAAAATAAGCCAATATGAACTGAATATGTGGTCACATAAAAACAAGTGTGAATAAGCATTCTTTGTTGGTGATTAAGGCGTCATTATAAGGCCCTGATGAATTTCATAATCCACGCCATTTATTTTCCTCAGAAGGACTCTATATTTTCATGTAAATCTAGATCTTTGGAGCAATGAAAATGGAATTCAAACTTTAGGAAGCAGCATAATACAGCTCTGGTAATTAAAAATTAAGAAAGTTCCAAATTTCATGTGGTCTTGTTTGTAAAAGGAGAGGGAAGTTAATAAATATACAGCCCATCTGAAATTAATTTTGAGTAACATGTTTTGGCTTTTTCATAATTTTATGTCCTACAGTATGGAATTATTATAATACCAGAGTCTTTATATGAGTTTTGGCTTATTAATATTTTTACTTATTAAGCGGGGGAAGCAAAAAGCTTTTTTGATTACTTATGCCTCTAAAGAGTTTTAATTCTTTTAGAAATTCAGCAATCATTTTCACCAGCGTAATTTTATCTCAAGGGGCAATTTAATTAAATTATTAAAGGCCACAATTTCTGTGTATAATGTATTGGATAGTAATGAAATCTGCCATAGAATTAGTTAAACAGTAACAATAGCCCTCATATGTAGAAAAAAAAAAAATCTTGCATCATTCTCAATATTAACTCCAGTTTCATTTTTTTTAAACCAAATACTATTTTATTTAAATCAGAGGTTGTAAATAAGTACTTTGATCTGAGGCTGATTTGCTAATAATATTTGAAAGAGGCTGCTTACCAAGGAAAATTAGAAACCATTTCTTCATACATTCATTCACAAGTGGAATTTTGAGAAACCAAGCATGCTAGCTTAAGGAATTTTTGTACTCTCTCTTTTTTTTTTTTAACATATTTGCTTCTAGCTGCTCCTGGCAACAGTGAATTGTTACATATACGTTAATGTTTTCCCAGCTTAAAAATTGTTCACATTTTTCCTATATAAGATCCATGGAGTGTGTCTTTCAAAGAGAGGGAAATACAGAAATGTTAAAGCAGGAAAACCTGAATGTGATGTGTACATTTTCATCCCACATGGACCATTTATTTGTTTTAATAAATGGAATTTTCAGATTCATTTCATATGCAGTCATTTTTATTGGGAAGGCCTGTGGACCACCTCGCCCATTGGTTAATTCGAGAAGGATGACGACACGTAAGGTGAATGTAGAAATAGTAATTCATTGATTTTTCTTTAGGGTTTTGTTAATAGAGATGCCCTAGGAAGGAAAAACTCACATGAGCTCTTTACAAGCCTTTCTCCCTGGTGTTTACATCTCAGGTAAAGGGCTTGGGCACAGAGGAAGATGGTGGGGACACATCCAGGGCCCCAGTAGGCTGGATCATGAAGACAGATGAGCTGCATTCATACTCTAACATGCTCTAGGTATGCCACACGGGGATTTTTGTTTTCCAAAAAAAACCCTAAAAACCTGGAGAGCATGGCTCAGTTGGTTGAGAGTCATCTCAGGAACCAAGAGGTCTCCAGTTCGATTCCCAGTCAGAGCACATGCCCGGGTTGCAGGCCCCAGTAGGGGTGTGCAGGAAGCAGCCCATCAATCAATGTTTTGCTCTCTCTCTTTCCCTCCACCTCCCTCTCTCTAAAGTCAGTAAAAACATATAAAAAAGAAGAAGAACACAGAAAGTGGTCTTCTCCATTAGCTGGTCATGATTTTAAAAGCATACTGGAGAAGAGAAATGCTTAGAAATCTAGAGTCAGCAGTTCCTCAGAGTAATCTTAGTCAAGAAAGCTTTCTATATGTCCTTCAAATTATGCCAGTAAGATATCCTGTTAGTAAAGAAGAAAATGTTGGATCTCCTGGGACTTGGGCAGATCACAGCAGCATCTGTAAACCTCTGATTAAGAGGCCACTGGAGTTGATGCATTTGTCCATTTACATCATTGTTTCTTAGACTATGTTCCCTGGACCACCTACTTCAGAATCACCTGGGGTGTCTATAAAAAAAGCAGACACCAGGCCCCACATTAACTCAGAATTTCTGGCAGTAGCACTTAAGAACATGTACCCGCTGCATGCTATAGTCTGGGGAATAAAAATTTAAGTACAATTGGCCCTTGAACAGTGCAGGGTTTAAAGGTGCTGACCACCACCATCCCCTCCCCCGTGCAGACAAAAATCTGCATATAACTTTACATTTCCCCAAAACTTAACTATTTGTAGCCTACTGTTGACCAGAAGTCTTACCAATAACAGAAACCGTCAATTAACATTTTGTATGTTATATGCATTATATACTGTATTCTCACAATAAAGAAAGCTGGAGAAAACATGTTATTAAGAAAATAATAAGGGATGCCCGGCCGGCCATGGCTCAGCGGTTGAGCGTCGACCTAGGATCCAGGTGACCCGGGTTCGATTCCTGGTCAGGGCACATGCCCGGGTTGCAGGCTCGATCCCCAGGGGCATGAAGGAGGCAGCCAATCAATGACTCTCTCATCATTGATGTTTCTATCTCTCTCTCTCCCTCTCCCTTCCTCTCTCTGAAATCGATAAAGATATATATATTTTTTTTAAAAGAAAAGAATAAGGGAGAGAAAATACATTTACATTACTGTATATATTTATTGGGAAAAGTACCCACTTACAAGTAGACCTGCACAGTTCAAACCCGTGTTGTTCAAGTGCCAACTATACAACAGGTAGCTTTTCATAATGCCTAAGGAAAGACACAAACCAATTATAAATATGCTTGCTCTTGCTCCAGTTCCTACAGCGCACAAAGTGGTGCCTGGGAGTGAACATGTAACCGTGGGTGAGAATCTAGGCAGCTCCTGGACATGAGACGCTGAGGAGGAAGCTGCTGGGTTTTAACTCTGCTCCTGTTCAGTGGAGCCCCGTGGGAGGATTGCCTCCAGCTCTGGTTCTTTAATAAGCTGGTCACATTTTAGCGCTCACAATGACGTGGGAATTAGAGCTGGGTCAGCTCCAATCCACAAATTGCAAATAATTTGCCAAGGGAAATCCCTTTCCCTTCGGTTCTGCCCCAAATCTACATTTCTTCTATTTAGAACCAGGAGACTCAGGCAGTTTATTTTTAATGAAGGGGGTCATGGGCTCCCAGGCCTTTCCTCAGTGAGAACTCCTACTGTTTCTCCATGTCCATAATAAGAGAAGCCTGGGGGAGGCTGTGCATCTCCACTCTGAGGTGACAGAAAGATCATGCCGTGTCTGGTGACTTCAGTCCCTACTGTACTCAAGCAATAGGAGCCCATCTAGCATGAGCTAGAGAATCAGGATTACACCCCAGAGTTCCTGTGTGAGGCAAGTCCTTTAACCTCTTCATGCTATAAAATGGGGACAGGAATACCCGATTCACTTGCATCACTAAGTTGTCAAAACCAAATGAAAGAGAGCAGGTAAAGGGTATCATGAAGGAAGATATGATGAATAATCATTAGACACTGCTTGTATAACTTCCAAAGAGGAAAAGACTAGATAGTTCCTTCTCTCCTCTTGACTCGCCTACTTTTTTTAATTTTTTACACCTCCATAGCCCTTGGCTGAGACCCTCAATGCCTCATGTCTGAGTTCCAGCCACGACCTGCTGGTGTGACCACTCTGATTCTCATCTCCTCTGTTCTAAGCCATCCCACTTACCACTGAGTCTTCACTAATCAGGACTCCT